CTAAACAAACATGCACAATTGCATAACTTACATAACATTTCACAGTTCTATAGGTAACATCACATTCAATATAGCAGTTACCATTCCTTATAATCTAAACATTTTACTAATCAATAATATACTTTACGTGATCATTTACACTTTATTATTTTTTTCATTAACATTACCAACCTTACAGAAATCGCAATCAGGAAACTTTTATATAAATAATTAAACTGTCAATCATAGTCCATTTCAGTTTATAATAAAAGTCCTGGTATCATTCTTCATGTCTCTGTCCATGGGTATTCAATTTTTCATCGCATTTACAAATGTCCATCCCCTCCCATCAGTCATTTGGCTTCTGAGGCACGATCTGAGTCTCTTTTGCAAAGTCCAAGTTTGACATACTCCTGCGGTCATCTGCTTAGCACCACACCTCTCCAAGTCCACAGCTGGAAGCATCTGTAAAGAGGGTGGACTCACGGTTGTTACCGCCTTCACTGGACACACAACTGCTGGCATTCAGGAGTCCCTCTGTTGACCACTGGCTCTTTCCGCAACCTTTTCCATCGACGCGGTCATCGTCCACTCGGTCGTCCACAGGATGTCTGCTGGTCGTTTTATAGTGACGTCAGTTCTCAGTTCTACTGCTAGGTTCTCAGGACAGACTGCTCTTTCCTGGGCCTCATACAAGCTCTTCTCTTTTCCAGGAGCACTTCCCAAGCTTGGCTCTGCCATCTGTAAGGACTTTTCTTTATATAAAAGCACCTTATCCAGGCAAGACCTTTCAGGGTATTCAGGAGACAACAAAGTGGGTGTACTGGTGTCTGCTCCAAAGCAATCTACCCAAATAGTGTCCTCCTCCTGCTCCTGAGCCAAACTATTTTTGTTTGAGGTTTTCAGAAGCATGAGATCAGCTTCAGCACCACTCTTAAGCTGAGTATCCAAGGAAACCTCTCCCTCCAGGCTCCCTTCTGCTACAGTATCCAATTCTACTGCAGTAGGAGATTCCTGGCGCTCTG